GGATTGATATGTTAGAATTGATATGGAATTCGTTGTTTCTGGAATTTGAATGTTGGTTTAGTTGGTTCAATAAAGGATGAGATTTATTGAATGGTTTGATTGGTTTATTTGTTTATTGAGTTCCGCTGTTCGATTGACTGGTTGATTGGGTTATTGAGAGTTAGCATTTATGGAAATGTTAATTCGAATCCAATGTTAAAAAAAAAAACGGGTCGGGTTGTTTCATTCCTTCCCTTGTTCATGAGCTTCAACCTGACTTTGTTTCTCTTTCTCTTGCATCAGAGAGTCTAGTGCAGTTTTAACTTGACTTTGAGAGGTCAGTTTCAACTTGTTTCTTCTCTTGTTCATGAGCTTCAACCTTAATTTGTTCATCATTTTCTCGCATCTGAGAATTTACTGCAGTTTTAACCTATAGTCTTCATTCCAATAAAAATCTTTATTCTGGTCTAGCTCTCGACTAGTTTTCGTGAGTTTTTTATTTCTCTCAAAGCCTCAGATCTCAATTTTTGTAATTTGGCATCTACATCACGGAACATAATTCTGCACGCGCGCTTCCATTTTCTTTTACAAAACCATCATCATCTTCATGATAAATCACAGAAAATCATCAAAGTTCTCGTGATTATCAGAAATCGAATCTTATACCATTAAATCTTCAATTGATTATGAGAAATCGAATAATGAATTATTACAATCGATGCACAGAATTGAACACAATTCATTCGCGATTTCACGAAATTGTTTATCGAGTGCCACACGATGTGATTGCGAAAATCAGTGACTTCGGGTCAAGCAAATTGCTTGGTGACTTTTTACCATATGCAAAGAGTATTTCTAGGTGACCAGCCCGGAGCAGATACGATCGGAAGAAAAAAGTTATCTAGTTGACACTTTTGCTCTCGGTTGCCTTATGTACTACGTTGTATACGGATCCCACCCTTTTGGTGATAGAGACATTGTCAGTAATATCAAAAATAAAACGATCACGTACAACGCGCAATATCTACCGCCGATATTGATCAATTTCCTCAACAACCTCTTGGGGACAGACCTAAGACACAATATATATCACACAATTTATGATATTGTAGGTCAAATTAAGAAACTTAATATATGATTGCACTTTTTGGTTGTGTTTCCAGTTTACGTCAGGACAAAGTGATGAACCATCCTCTATTTTGGAATAACATTACGAGGATAGCATTTCTTGTAATTTGGCATCTACATCACGCAACATAATTTGGCACGCGCGCTTCCATCTTCTTTTACAAAAC